TTGTTCCCCAGGGTGTGGAGCATTATGCGGGCTTGAACTCTTGAACTTTGCTGGAACTGACCTGCAGAAGCGCAACCCCAATAAAGATGCCAGCCACTAAGGTGAGGTTGTCCTGCAGCCACTTCTCAAACTGGGGTACACATCCTTTCACATTGATGTAGTCCTTCTGGTCAGATTCCTGGAGATAAAGAGAGAGAGAGAGAGAGTGCATACACATTACAGACGTCTCATTGCTTAAGTAGGAAACATCCAATGTACTTATTATAATAGGTAATATGGTAGGTAAAATATCAGGGGATGAAACTACATAAACTTTTATCACCAAAGTCAGATTTTCATCTCCAAAGATAATGACATTACATTACAATGCATTTCATAATTCATTTGATAATTCAATGAACAATTCAGATTATTACACTGTATGGTTAGGAAAAATGTATTTGTGGTAGGACTGTTTATGTGACAGTTAAGTGACAGCTTTAAGGCATTCAGACATGATTCATTCATTGACATTTCATAAAATAAGCAATATGTCATCCCAGTTTTGTTTTACAGTATTTATAAAAACACAAAAAGTTATATCATAAATTTAACTGCCCTGGAATTACAAGTGCATGTATACTGTAATTTTCTGTGTATTGAAAGAAACAAGATCACTCCCAATCGATAACTTAATTAAAATCTAAATAAACATCAGATAAAATTTGAGTTTTTAAAAAGAGAATACAAATTTCAACGCCTCAAAATAACAACAAACGGGGGATCAGTTACTCACGGGTTTGGCTCGAATGTCATATCCACACTGAGTGTTTATCACATCCTCCTAACGAAAGAGAACAAACGTGTTAATTCCCTGGAATCCCCAGTTACGTCCAGAGCGTTCACGTGTCAAGAGGATTCATACCGCCGGGTCCTTGGTGCAGCAGGAGAAGGGAACGCCACATTTTTCCCGACTTGGATTTGCATCAGTGCAGTTGAAATAGATGTTTTGGTTCCAGTCGTCTGCTCTGAAAGCACCACAGCATTCCCACTGCAGTCCAGAAAAAAACATAAATAAATATAACTGATGAT